CCTTCACTCAGAAGGGATATCGGTGCTTTGATCCTGTCTCTCGAAAATTTTATGTCTCTATGGATGTCTTTTTTTGAGAGTGAGCCTTTCTTCCCTGTTTCTCCTCAAGGGGAGTGTAGGAATGAGGAGAAACTAGTTTAGCTCCCCCCTCTTCCTAATCCTCCTCCCTTTCGTGTCTTCTTTCGTCGTCACAAAGGCCAACCATGTTCAAGAGCTGTGGGGCACCTAGAAGCTGTACCACCAATGCCATCAGACTCTCCAGGAGCGGATCATACCCATTCAGGTACATTGGGCCCTGTTGATGTTCCTGACCCTATTGCCATTGACACTTTTGTTGCTAATGACCTTGACCTTCCTTTTGCTCACCGGAAAGGTATTAGATCTTGCACCACTAAACACCCAATTTCCCACTTTGTTTCCGATGAAAACATTTCACCCTCCTTTCGAGCCTTTCTTTCTTCCATTGACAATGTCCCTACCTAAGAATGTGGTAGAAGCTCTTTTGGTACTTGAATGGACATATGCTATGAAGGGAGAAATTAATATGTTACATAAAAATGGCACATGGGAACTTGTAGATCTTCCTGAAGGGAAAGATCCAATTGGATGTAAATGGGTTTTCACAGTTAAACACAGGGCTGATGGCACCGTGGAACGGTATAAAGCTCGTTTATTAGCAAAGAGGTTTACACAAGTGTATGGAGAAGATTATGCAGAAACTTTTGCACCTGTTGCTAAGATGAACTCCATTAGAGTCCTTTTCTCCCTTGTTGCTAACCTTGACTGGGATCTATATCAGTTTGACATCAAGAATGCCTTCCTGAATGGTGACCTTGAAGAGGAAGTATACATGGTTCAACCCCCTAGTTTTTGGGCTCAAGGTAATGAATAGAAAGTGTGCAGGCTAAAGAAATCATTATATGGGTTGAAACAATCACCAAGAGCCTGGTTCAGCAGGTTCCATGTAGCAGTACAGCAAAGAGGATACAAGCAATGTCAGTCTAATCACACATTGTTTGTGAGGAGAGGGGAAGGGAAAATTGCAGCACTGATAGTATATGTTGATGATATAGTTATCACTGGTGATTGGAAGGATGAAATTCAGAAGTTGAAGAATTTTCTTACTACCCAATTTGAAGTGAAAGATCTAGGTCCTCTAAGGTACTTCCTTGGGATTGAAGTGGCCCGCTCACAAAGGGGTATCTTCATTTCCCAAAGATAGTATGTCCTAGATCTACTCCAGGATACAAGAAAACTAGGAATGAAGCCAGTTGATTCCCCCATTGACCCTAACCACAAATTAGGTGACTGTCAGGGTGAACCCATCAAGGATGTGAAACTGTTCTAGAGACTTGTAGGAAGATTGTTATATCTTTCTATGACTCAACCAAACATAGCTTATGCAGTGGGTGTTTTTAGCCAATTCATGCATGCCCCTAAGACTACCCATCTTAAAGCAGTAGAAAGAGTTCTTAGATATCTTAAGAAGTTCCCAAGTGCAAGCTTGTTGTTCCAAAAGCATGGACATTTGAAAGTTGAAGTGTATACTGATGCGGATTGAGCAGGATCCCTAAATGACAGAAAGTCAACTAGTGGCTACTATACCTTCATAGGAGGTAATTTAGTTACTTGGAGAAGCAAAAAGAAAAATGTGGTAGCTAGATCTAGTGTTGAAGTTGAATACCGGGCAATGTCTCATGGAGTGGCTGAAAATTTTGTTGAGTGAGTTGGGTTTTCCAGTTGACGGACCTATGACACTATTCTGTGATAACAAAGCAGCCATAAACATTGCTGCTAATCCAGTGTTGCATGATAGAACTAAACACATCGAAGTCGACAAACACTTTATTAGAGAAAAGGTCGTCACAGGGGAAGTGTGTACTCCTTATGTTAGTTCTGAAGATCAACTTGCAAACATCTTTACAAAAGGGTTACACCATTCACGACATCATGATTTATGTGACAAGTTGGGCATGATTGACATTTATGTCCCAACTTGAGGGGGAGTGTTAAAAGACTGTTATTTGTCTAAGTATAGTACCGCAGGGGTACTCTTGTAATTTTCTTCTTTTATTTTTTATGTTCTGTCGCCCTAGTATATATATCAAAGCTGGCGCCGCCAGTAGTACCTTTTCGGCTCTTAGTTCTCTCTTCTTCCATTCTTCTCTCCTGCATAACAAATCCCAAGGATGAAAATATTTTGTTTGTTCTGATGTTACCTTCTTTAAGTTAACAACCTTCTTCTCTAGTGAAAGTCTTTCAACTAATACATGTTTATTTCTACTACCTAGTCCCATGGACTGTATTGTAATATCTTATGTATAAAGTAGTGTGGAGCAACCTAAAAAAGAGTGTTTACATGTTAGCCTACCACATGACTAATCTAGTGTCTCCAACATCATTGTTTCCATTAGGAGTTTAGACCACCCCATCTAATTTTCACCTTCCTATTGCACACTGAAGTCTAAAAAGGTAAGCATAGTTGTACTAACCATCTTATTTCTCAATTTGTATACCTTGAGCATCCATCCCCTTCCTCTCAACAATTTATTTATCTATTATCTTCAGTTTCTATTCCCTAATCTATGACAAAAAACTTGGCCTGGATGGAGAAAAGCTATGGGGAGTTAATTGCACTTGAATAGAATAATACATGGAACCTCACATGTCTTCCCCTAGTAAGCATGCAGTTGGTTGTCAACGGGTGTAAACAGTAGAAGATTTACCAAATGTTAGTGTTGAACATCTTAAAGCAAAACTGGTAGTGAAATAATATGTTTAGTTGCATGGGGTTAGGGGTGGATTCGAGCCGAGCTGTGCCAAATAGTACAAGGCTCGAGCTCGACTCACTAATGTTGTACAAGGCTCAAGCTCAAGCTCAGTTTGAGCTAGAACATTGAGCTCGAGCGCGGCTCGAGTCAAAAACTCATAAGCTCGAGCTCGATTTCAAAAAAAAATGTTTTATAAAAATAAAAAATATATATATATAAAATATTTTTATTTGATATTTAAAAAATGTAAAGAGACTGGGCCGAATGGGTACTAGTATCTTCTCTTGTAATATCTTTTCTTTTCTTGTTGGCTAATGGGCCTGTTGTTTCTTTTTTGTTTAATGGGTCCTAGTATCTTTTCTTGTTGGCTAATGACACACTATACTGCCTAGTTGGCCGCCCACTTAAGGGCATACTTGTCATTACTCTAACATTAATTCTTAATAAAAAAGGATTAGAGGAGAAAGGGAAGATAATTCGAATCTTCTTCTTCTTCCTTCTCTTTTCGCCATCTTCTTCTCTTGTACTGCTGCTCTTACTTCTCTTCTTCCTTTTTTTCCCTCTAATCTTCAAATTTACACCTAATATTTGAGGACTGATTTACATCTAAAAATTAAGAAAATATTTTTATTATATATATTATTTTCTATAACTTTACTATATATATATATATATATATATATTCGAGCTCGGCTTGAAGCTCGGTTGAAACCGAGCCGAGCCGAGCCGAGCTCGAGCATCTCGTGAATAGTTCAGCTCATGGCCACCCCTACATGGGGACAGTTATTGTGAAACTTTCTTGCTAGTTCCTTTTTCCTTTTTGAAAGGTATATAGTGAAACTTTTTCTTTTGGGAAAAAGTAACGATCATCTTTCTTGTTGTTACCTTAGGGTGACCTCTATACCAATTGAATATTATAAATGCCTTATTGCATGGTGATTTAAATGAGAATATATATATATGGAGCAACCTCTAGGCTTTCTTTAAGAATATGTTAAGGTATATAGGTTGAGAAAAGGCTGTATATGGCTTGAAACAATCCAACCAAGAGTGATTTGATCAATTCAATGAAGTTGTACAAAAAATTGGCCTAAAATGGTTCCACATTGATCATTCTGTATTTATGTTGATGACATTGAGATTATAGGCAATAATTACAGCCAAGTAAGTTTTTTTTTTTTCGATAAATAATTACAGCCAAGTAAATTTTACAGCATCATTTCAAAAATAATGACCTTGGAAAACTAATATTCCTTGGATTTTTTTATCAGTCTAATATTTCTTGGATATTGAAGTTGCAATGTCTGAGGAAGACATCAATTTATCTCAAATAAAGTATGTAACTCAGTTTGCTTGAGAAAACAGGGCTATTGGAAACAAGACCTATGGATTCTCCTATAGACCATAATATTTAACTGAACTTAACAAGATTGTAATTCAGAATTTAAATTTGTATATACAGTTTCTAATATTAATGAAGTTCCTGTTATCATTCAAAAAGAAAAAGAAAAAAGAGCTGTGATCCAAGGTGAATTATTTGGTGATTTGGTAAGGTAAAGAAGATTAATGGGGAAGAACCATTTGACTATTACAAGACTTGATATCTCATATTTTTGTAAGTGCAATGAGTCGAGTTTATGCAAGAGCCTCGTGTTTGTTATTGGGATGATGTTTAACAAATCTAGTGGTATTTGAAAAGTGCATTTGGACATGGACTGTTGTATAAATGGAGACATAAGTTAAATGATATACATATGCTTATTGGGTAGGATCCCTTTTTGATAGAATGTCAAGAACAAGAAATTGTACCTTTTTGGAAGATAACCTTGCTAGAAACAAATGTGGGCGCTAGGAGCAATGCTGAAGAACACAAAGTAGTTGCTCATACTACATGTGAATTGGTGCATAGTGAGGAGTGTTTTTGTCTTTTCAGTTAGCTTCATTTTGTATGGATGTGTATAGGGGTAATTAGGTCTTTCTACCTTTTGATTCTGAGGGAGAGAATAACTTTTTTTGTCTCCCACATTTTCTCACCTTATTTTTGTTCTCTACTATTAAGTCCAAAATCTATTGAAACCAGCACCCTAAGATTCATAAGAAACTAAGCAGAACTAAAGCAAAGTAAACAGAATCTCAATCTGGGATGTAGAAGCTCAAGTTTTTATCACACAAAACTCAGGAAACCAGCATAGCATGATAGAACTTTTGTTCAAACTACTTAAAAATTACCTGGAATCTCTTCAAAACTATTGTCAAGATATTTGGTGCCTCATGTATACTCAATTGCTTTCGGGCTTTAACATATGTTGCACACCTTTTATTGAAATGTCAAAACATGCAAAAGATTGCAGATTATTCAACTTGCGATAGCTATGGAGAATGGACACAATCCGCAGGATATGGAATGAATTACTAAGATGCACATAATGTCATCTAACCTTCCACATCTGTACATGTTTTCTCCATCCAAATCCTCAGCTGCAGTGAATTGAGCAAGTGCATCCTCCAGTGACTCAACCCAACCAAGTATCTCCAATGTAAGATCCATTATATTCTCATATCGTTCAGATTCATGATGACATCTCAGGCACTTGACCTGGTTGCAGTCAAAGAAACTTAATGTTGATCTATATATGAGCAGGATAGCATTAAAACATAGGCATCATCACTCTGGTGTTTTATAGAAATTAAAAGAGAAAGATGATAATGATAATCACTTTTGATCTGAGACTACCACCAAAAGTATGTTGTATGAAGGTTGTTTCTTGCAATCTTGAATCAACATGCTTCTCACCACCCACTGCCTCAAGGCATATAGATTGCATGGAAGTAACTAGAAGCCTGAATAAAGACCTTATTAGAAATAGAAAGGTCTTGTGAAACAACCAAAAACTGAACAAAAAGATTACCAATTGTTGGCTGAATGCAAATCTAAAATTGAATTTGGATCACTATGCTTTTATGGAGGAATTCAGAGACGCAGACCACACATCTGAATGGCATTGGCCTGTGCATCTTCACAAACCTTAAAAATTCATGAGCATCTTCCTGACTACCACCACCCATTTGAGAACCAATATTCCGCATATGCAAAAGGATTCTGTTAGGAGACAAAGGGCCTCCAGCTTCTCCCAACATCATTACATGCTGCTCAAGTTCACACATGAGACACCAATCTTTCACAAAGCCTAACATATACAGAATAGATAAGAAGAAGTTATCTATATTCTTAAATAATATAGCATCATGCCATTTACAAATTTTAGGAGCATTGATATAAAAAATGCAAGCACATACAGGTTCTTGAATGATATTTCTGAAGAAGGTAGACAATAAGAGGTTTTGTGCAGGTCAAACATTGCAATACAGCATTTGCATAGCAACTGCAAGATTAAAACAAAGAAAAAAGGTAGAGAAGTCAAATATAGAAGCATAGAAAGATGGTAAGAATTAGATGACAACAGAAGAGGTTACCTTTTATGCTTTAACCTTGGACAACTATATTTCACATTTTAAATTACCTTTTCAGTAATTATCTTTTCCACTTTAAATTTAGACATGTAAGCAAGAAAACAGCTATATATGAAAACAAGGTGTCAAAAGTGAGGAACTGAACAAACATCTCAATTCTCAAACAATGACCAAGTCCTGTGGCAATCTTACACATGACTCTCTCCAAGAATCAAAATATCGACATGATACACCCCATATTGAGCATATTTGTATCCAGGGTCATGGATACACCAATATACACATGGTTTAGGGTTTTTGAAAGTTTAGGATGATAGAAGGTATCCCTCTTAGGCTGATAAAATAAAAAATAAAAATAAAAATAAAAGCAAGAGTATCGGTCTATAAAGGCACACCAATACCCAATTTTTGGCATCGGTGTGTATCAATATTTTGATCCTTAAGACCTTGACCCTTTCTAAATTTGAAGTTATTTTCTTGATAAAAGTAAGAGAAAAGAACCTTTCTACTTATTGTAGAGTCAAAAGATTGGGCTGGATGCAACAACCTTTCTATTTGTTGTAGGGTGACCCAATAATAAAAAAAAAAATAAGGTAAAAGGAAAATAGTGCCCTTGTGGCACTAAAATATAAACTATTAACAGCTTAACACTCCCCCTCAAGTTGGGACATAGATGTCAATCATGCCCAATTTGTTACACAAGTTATTGTTCCGCAAATGATGTAGACCTTTTATGATATCCACAAGCTGATCTTCAAAACTGACATAGGGAGTGCACACTTCTCCACTAACAAGCTTCTCCCTAATAAAGTATTTGTCCACCTCAATATGTATTATTCTATCATGGAGGACTGAGTTGGCTGTAATATTGATGGCAGTCTTATTGTCACAATTAAGGGACATGGGACTACTATCAACTACAAACCACAAATCACCCAATAAAGGGGCATTGCTCTATACTCAACTTCAGCATTAGACCTAGCCACCACATTTTGTTTCTTGCTTCTCCATGTGTTGGAGCCCAAACACCCCCTTCAAACCCAACTGCAGGTGTGGAGCAGACCTCCACCAATCAGCATTTCACTAGAAGACAAAGAGGCTAGCATGCCACGCTGGCAAAGCCTTTCCAAAGTTAGTTATACTACCACCAGAAGATATTTTCTTCATGATTGTGTTGGTAGGCCAGCTATATAAGGCCCCAGTCATGTAATAAGTGATGTGAATGAATATCTTTTTCTATCTCTCTCTCTGCTATCTTCTTCCTCCCATCCCCGTTCTTCCACCCTTTCTGTTTCAAGAGGTTAAGCCACCCTTGAAGGGGCTTCTGAGGTGAGCGGCATCTCATCATTTGGTATCAGAGCCCATAATCCAAATCCCAGGCTTCACGATGCCACAGACACGTTCTACTATCGTGAATGATAGGGTCGACCAAATTGAGGTTGGACTTCACTAGGTGGTTAACAAACTCAAAGAACTCAGAGTGCTTGTCTCCAGCATCGCCTCTCAACAGCAGACCGGTGAGACCAGTCACCTAGTAGGAGCATAAGCCTCTGCTTCCAATAGCCAAAGGATAGGGGTTACCCCACCGGGAAAGTCACTAAGATCAATTTTCCCAACTATTCTAGTGGAGATCCTATTCCTTGGATCTTCCAAGCAGAAAGATATTTCGAGTACCATGAAACTCCTGCCCACCAACGTGTCTCCATCGCCTCCATTCATCTAGAGGGAGACGCGATTCTATGGCTCCAGTGGTACCGCCAGAATCATCCAAAGGTTACTTGGTCAGAGTTTACCGAAGCATTGTGCATCTGGTTTGGGCAACAGCATTCGTGGACTATGACGAGTTGATCATTAGGCTGAAGTAGACTGGAACGGTAGCAGAATACCAACTCGAGTTTGAACGGATGGCGACCAGGGTGCACAGCTAGCCAGAGAAGGCTTTAGTGGGGTTTTTGTAGGACTCAGAGAGGATATCCGCCTAGAAGTGAGAGCACTCTGTCCAGCGACTGTCATGGCTACCGTGGGATTGGCTTGCTTGCAAGAAGAGAGAATTGATAACCTTCGTCAAGCCAGTAAACAGCCCTACCCGATCTTGAAGACTCCTCCACGAGTCAACCAATTGCCCATGAAACCGGTTGGTGATCCTCCTAAGCCCATACTGCCCCAGCCCACTATGCCTTTCAAGCGCTTCCCTTGGGCTGAAATGCAAGCCTGATGCAAGAAAGGCCTCTGTTATAACTATGACGACAAATTTGGACTGGGCCATAAATGCCAAGTCCAACGGGTATTTCTCCTACAAACAGAGGAAGAGCCAGACGAGCCCAACCCAGAGAACTCGGTTGAATGTGAACTGATACCAGATGGGCCAGAACCTGACGGGGCCGAGATTTCCTTACATGCCCTCATGGCCTCAACTCTCTCCATTCCATGCGAGAAGGGAAATTGATGGGCCAGAGTGTGATGATTTTAATTGACAGTGGCTCCACCCTGAGTTTCATCACTTGCCGTTTGGCTAAGCAGCTAGGTATGACCATACAACCCACCCCTCTCTTTTCAATTCATGTGGCTAATGGGAGTCAAATGTCATGTAATGGTGTATGTAAGAAAGAGAAAATTCTCATACAAGGACATAATTTCGTGGTGGATCTCCATCCATTGGATTTTCTGACGGCTAATGTTATTTTGGGGGTTCATTGGTTGTGTGGTTTGGGCCCAAATGACAATGGATTTTGATCAGAATGGCCAGTCTTCTCATCTACAAGGGGTGCAGCCTTCAGGCCCTCGAAGTGACACTTTAACCTCCATGATACAGACCTCAAAAGCTTCTGGCCAACCCATATTTATGCACCTGGGCCTTCGACACACGGTCCCAATTTTGGACAACCAGGGCTGTGTCCGCCCCACGAAAGTCCAACAAGGGGCCCTACGATCGATACTCGATCAGTTTGTTGATTTGAGGAGTCAAACCAATTACCCCCATCTCGGACTCACGATCATCAGATACCTCTCTTACCTGGCTCTAATCCCGCAAATGTGAGGCCATATAGATACCCTTACTTTCAGAAGTTGGAAATTGAGAAGGTAGTAAGAGAGTTATTGGAAAAAGGACATATACAGACCAGTACCAGCCCTTTTTCATCTCTCGTGCTCTTAGTGAAGGACGGTAGTTGGCGCTTGTAGATTACCAGGCCTTAAATCAAATTACTGTGAAGGACAAGTTTCCTATACCCCTCATTGATGAACTACTTGATGAGTAAGGAGAGGCACGGGTGTTCTCCAAATTAGACCTGTGCTCCGGGTATCATCAAATCCGAGTCCACCAGGCCTGAAACTCACCCTCACAACTTTGAGGAGAAATCAGTTACATGCTAAAATGACAAAGTGCTCTTTTGGGCAAGGAAAAATTCAGTACCTTGGACATGTGGTTGCAGCGGGTCAGGTCATGGCAGATCCAGAGAAGGTAGAAGCCATTCAGAAGTGGCCCAAGCCCATTACTGTAAAAGCACTACAAAGCTTCCTTGGGCTTTCAGGATATTACAGGCGCTTCGTTAAGGGGTATGGGCTTATGGCCGCCCCACTAACGCGTCTATTGAAGAAAGATTCATTCAGGTGGACTGAGGAAACCCAACGGGCTTTTGAAGAATTGAAGACAACAGTTTCTAGCCCTCCAGTCCTCACTCTTCCCGACTTCTCTCAACCCTTTGAAATAGAATGTGATGCTTCGGGTGTAGGGGTAGGGGCCGTCTTGATGCAAAAAGGGCAGCCCATTGCTTATTTCAGCAAGGCTCTCTCAGTAACTCACCAAAATCAGTCCACTTATCTTAAGGAAATGACAGTTGTAGTGATGGCAGTGCATAAATGGTGTGCATACCTCTTGGGATGCCAGTTTGTTATTAGAACAGACCAACGGAGTTTGAAGTATATAGCATAACAAAGGGTGCACACTCCGGAGCAGAAAAAATGGCTTAGTAAACTGATGGGCTTTGACTACCTCATAGAGTATAAGCCAGGGCCCGCAATCAAAGTGGCCGACGCATTGTCACGAGTAAAAGAGTTAGCCCAGCTAACCTGCTCTCAGCCCTGCTTCCCTTTATTTGAAGCTATACGACAAGAAGCCAGGTCTGATCCACAGTTGCAGATCATTAGAGATAAGTGGAATCAAGACCCATCCCAAGTTGTTGGTTACCATATTGTGGGGCCTGATCTTTTCTTCAAGGGTCGGTTTGTTGTAGCCCAGAATTCAGCCCACAAAACTGAACTATTAAGGTTATTTCATGACTCCGCTTTGGGAGGACACTCAAGGGTGCTACGGACCATAAAGAGGCTCAACAGCCACTATCATAGGGTAGGAATGCGTAAGGATGCATTACGGTATATATCCGAATGTCAAACCTGCCAGCAGCAGAAATACTCATCACAGTCTCCCGCTGGCCTTCTACAACCTCTCAGAATTCTAGATCAGGTGTGGGAAGACCTTTCCATGGACTTCATCACGGGTCTTCCCCGTTCTGCAGGAAAGGCGGTTATCATGGTAGTGGTTAACCATCTCACCAAGTACAGCCATTTCTCTGCATTACCTCACCCATACACCAGCTATGGTGGCTGACATCTTCATCTAGGACGTAGCCAAGCTGAATTGGACCCCAAGATCCATTGTCTCAGACCGGGACCCTGCTTTCTTGAGTTCATTTTGGAAAGAATATTTCCGCTTGCAAGGAACCCAACTGCACCCTTCCACGAGTTATCACCCGCAGACTGACGAACAAACTAAAGTTCTCAATCGTTGTTTGGAGGCCTACCTTAGATGTTTCGCAGGAGAAAAAGCCTAGACAGTGGGCGGCTCACTAGCTCCCATGGGCAGAATACTGGTACAACTCGACCTATCAGTCAGCTGCTGGAATGACACCCTTCA